CACTTACTCCCGTACAAAGTCTCTGGTCTGTAGGGAGCCAGTTGGTTTCTTTCAGTTGGTTCATTCCCAGAAGTTAGACTAATGTACAAGTCACAAATAAACTCCCAGGGAAAGAGGAATCTCCAGGCCCCATTGAGTGCCATGGAACAACCCCTGGGGCAGAAGAAAAGCAGAGCCCCAAGAAAAGGTGAGGAGAGAAACATGGCCTTGGGGCAGTGGTGAAACATCTCCTCGTGTCACATGATCCCATCTAGGCACATCCAGCCAGGGGCGATCTCACCCTGTCTCTCCCTCCCTCTCTCTGCCGTGCCCCACAACCATCCATGTGTGGAGAGGAGCTAGCTGGCTGTAGGCTGCTGAGCTCCTGATAATGTGCCCCGAGCTTACTGGCCTGAGCTGCTCTGCAGAAAGCCCACTTGTGCCTGTCAATTAATGAATCTCACCTCAGTGCAGAAAGTCATGGCGATATTTCTCTGCTCATCCTCCTTCTGACTCTGGACGATGGTGACGGCCTCTCTGAAAACTGCAGGGAGCTGAGGGCTCTCAAACTCGATCATGGCTCTGGAACATGGAACAGAAAGTCCCTTGTGGTTATCAAGGGGGAGAGAGAGTTCCTCTCTAGTTGCTGGGCTGAGATGGCAGCTGGAACAGAGGAATATTTCACACGGAAATCCCATTCCCAAGAGAGACCCAATGAAGAGGAAACTTTGGGCTCCTACCTTGCAATCAGGCCAACACCCTGCGAGTAGTAATATCGGAAGGATATCATGTCCCAACCCTGCTGTAACTGGATGCCGGCAAATTCCTTCCAGTATCCGGGCATGGAGAAAAGAGTCTTCACAGCCTCCACTGACGTGCTAAAGACAAAAAAATCCCAGTGCCAGGCAACGTGATCAGCTCCAAGCATGGCAAATCTGCACAAGCCCTGGGACACACAGCATGGTCAGCAGTAGCTAGCGCCCCCGAGGATAGATCCAGTATGATATCATGGTGCTTCCCTGCCCAATGGACCCTTCTACACTGCAGATTCATTGAGTTTGTAACCAGTTAGTGACACTGTAGCTTCTTAAGCTGGTTGGTGTCATCACTCAATACGGTTGAATACTTGATTCTTTACTGTGGCAGGTAACAGGACACAAGCGGGCATGTGGGGCCAGATCCTTAGCTGGTGTAAGTGAGCAAAGCTGTGTCAGTTTATACCACCTGAGGTGGCCTCTGGCGCTCTGGTTTTCCCTGTAGATGGAGGCCCCTAACTGTGCCCACAGAACCAGTTGAACTGGTCCCTCTTCCTCCTGTCTGCCTGTGACGCTGACATCCTGCGGTGCCTGGCCCCATGTGCTGCTGGTGTGGCTCTGTCTGCGTTCCGGGACAGAGACCCCCAGATTTGCTGAGCAGGCCCTGATAAAAGCACTGACGCTTTGGCAGGTGGCACATGGGGATGGATGCACAAACATGACTGCTGCCTGACTGAGTAGTGAAAGCAGCTGGCCTGGGGACGGAGTCAGATGAGCGAGTGTGACTCACAAGAACACACGGCTCTCAACCCTTTCCCCTCAAGAGAGACCTGCACCGAACTGAGCCTGGGCGAACTACAGCACCGAACAAGTGATGGCCATGAACAGAGCACACGTGTTTAGCAGAACAAATCTGTTCCTCCTTTTCCTTTCAGTCATTACCTTAGGGGGCTGAGGTGGCTGGATCCCTCCTCGGGGCTGGATGTCTCGCTGGCCCTGTAGGTCCCTGGCAAGCGCAGATCCATCACATACTGCACTTGCCTGACGCAGAGGATGAGCATCTGGGGATACATTTCCAGGATGGCTTCTCGGTATCCCCATAGGAAAAGGACCTCGTAAATGGTCCTCATTGCCTGGAGGGGGGAAAGAATTTCAGTCAACTATCCCAATCTGCCACCTGCCACCTCCACAGGGTATTAGAAAAGAGGATTGGCTCCTGAGAGGGGAGGAGACATTTTGAGGCTCCTGAACCATCACCCATTCCTGGAACGAAAGCAGGATGGAGCCCTATGGAAAGATCAGAAGAGTCTGGATGACGTTATTCCCCGTTGTTTCTGTTAATGGTGCAGCCCCTGTGCTTTGGCTTCCCAGCCATGACTGGACGGGCTGAAACCATCCTGAGGAGATCCGTTCGCATAGGCCCAGTGTTTCTGGCCCAGTCAAAAGTACTGGACATCTCATGATCCCATGCTGGGAAGCTCTCTAGTCACAGTTTACAGAGCCAAGAGACACCGGAACTGCAGCTGCTCACTAAAGGGCCATCTAGAGCAGAAGACAACTGAGCCAGGGTACCAGCAGATAAACCACTTCAGATCTGTAACTTTTACCTGGGGGAAACTTTCTTTACACGTCTTTGGTTTGCTAGGAGGTGGCCAGGACACACTAAGGCCTGGTCTGCACTACAGAGTTAGGCCAACGCAAGGCCGCTCACCCAGCATCACCCTAACTATGGAATTTCCTTCCCGTTGGCAGAACTGCCCCTCGGTGCCAAATTAATAACTCCACCTCCACGAGTGGCAGAGAGTCCAGGTCGATGCAGTTAGGTGTAGACACCACGTTGCTTACGTCAACTGGCTTTCAGGAGCCTTCCCACAATGCCCCACCCTGACCGTATGATCGAGACGAGCGCTTCTGGTGAGGACGTGCACTGCCGACACAAGCAGCAAAGTGCAGACACACACAAGGGATGGAATTGCTGTGGCGGCTGTATGCCGAGGTAAGTTAGGTCGGCTTCATTGTGTAGTGGAGCCATGGCCTGAAGCTAAGAAGGGGGGAAGCTCCCGCGCACACACAGATGCACCATCCTCCCTGCGGTGGCGGGTTGGCAAAG